GGTCTTCGATGCACTAAATGAGCGGGAATTTTAAAATGTACAAAACAAATCCCCCAAAAAATCTAAGAATTAAAAAATCTTTAATAACTTTATTAGCAATCTAAAAAAATATGTCGATTCAATATTGTAACGTTCTATTTCGAGCAGCTTTAGTTTCTTGCCACACTTAGCGTGACGCATGCTCCCGCTCAATTAAGGTCTTCGATGCACTAAGAGCTACTCTGCGAATAGAGCATTTACAAAAAAATTTACAAAAAAAATTACAAGCGCGCGACTGCATCGAAGTTGACTGTCCTTCTGAGGGACAAAACTGAATCACGGCTCACGCTATAAAAAAGTATTCACGCCTCACGGCTAATTTTTTCGCATTTTCACCTAACGGTTAATTCAGCCGTTTCACGGCTCACGGTTAACCCCATTGAGACTCTCATCTCTTGAAGCAAAGATTTCGAGTCTACAAATGTTTTAATGGTCTCAATCCATGCTAAATCTTCCTCAAAACCATCCATATGAACTATATAAAGTTTCGCAGCCACATAAACATAACAGACACTTCACTTTTGAGATAATTTAAAAACTAAAACAGCCGATTAAGTCTATATTTGATCACGAGTACGAGAGATCTAATTGTTTTAGTATTATCATACTAGTGAACAAAAGATGAATGCCAAATATATAAATAAGTAAATTGCTAAAAACACGCAAAAAGTTGTCGCTTAATTTTCGCTAGTCGAGGACTATTAAAAATAGACACCGAGTAGCGTAGCCAATCAGAACGAAGGATTTGCAATAGTCCACTAGTATGGTAATACTAATAAGTACTATCTTTTATTGCCTTTATTTATTTCATTTATGTTTTGTTTGTTTGTTTGTTTGTTGTTTTAGCTTTGTTTTTTGTTGTTGTTGTTTTTTTTTTTCAGTTACGTTCAAAAACCTTTTCTTTTTGGTCGTATTTCTGCCAATACGACTGCTACTCGCTTGTGACAAGGATTACGTCATACCAGGTCACGCACTTGTAAACCATGTGAGTGCATCGTTTGTAGGCGTGACAAACTACCAGGATTGCGTTGAAAGGTGTACTGCTAATTCAGCTTGCTACAGTATTAATTATTACAATACAGGTGCGTATGTTCGTAAGCAATTTGTGGAAACACAACAACAAGTAGCTCTCTACCAGAGCGACTGTACTACTACTACTACTACTACTACTACTACTACAGGGGCGGGTTGTTCAAAACTGAATTAATCTTAATTAACTCTTAAGGCCGATTTAGACGGCACAACTTTTGCCTACAACGATCGCATGCGACCTACGTAAGTCATCCTTACAACATGGCTACAACTGTCGTTGGGCTATTAAGCAATTGTTTTAAATCCCTACGACAGTTGTAGCTATATGTTATAAGGACGACTTACGCGGGCCGGCATGCGATGGTTGTAGGCAATAGTTGTGCCGTCTAAATCGGCCTTTAGAAAACCTATTGAGTTAACCCTGGATTAACGCTAATCGGGCTTTGAACAATCCGACTAGGGGTTCCTGAATCCCTTTTCTTGGGACACTATAAGTCTTTGAACTTTTACTTGCAAAATCTTTCAAAGCTGAAACCCACCATGAAACCCCTGCATCACGCCCCTGACAGGACACTACACGACAACGAAAAACAATATTATATATAATATTATTATATTATTATATTATATACAGCCTTTTGCAAAAATTATGAGAATTGCTGAAATATCTAAATATCATAATATCAAGTGCATGATCCAGCGCGATGCCCTTAGTCCCTTGTCTTTGTTGTTTAGTTTTTTTTTGGGCGACGGACTTATCCGTAGTTCTGAACATTTTCTCAATGTCAACAATGAATTATTCTAGCAAACCCGCGTGTTCCGGACAATATGTGGATATGGATATTATGATATTTAGATATTTAGACAATTCTCATAATTTTTTGCAAAAGGCTGTATTATACGGTATAATAATGCTGATAATTTACAACATACATTCAATGATTGCACCTATACAGACCATCACATAATAATGGTTATTCTAAGAAAACCTTTCTTGGAAAGCCTTTATAACTACATATAACAATTTCAAAACCTTCACAGGTTACCATTGCTTATTCCAATATATATTGTCAATGAAAGATGACTCTATTGCGAATATAACTGCGAAGTATTGTTTTAATGTTCTAAATTTGTACAATAATTTAGACAGCTAGTATATCTTTTGTTAAATTTAAATTTTATTAATGTACCCACTGGAAAAAATCGCTCTCGCGTTTTAAAGGTTGTAAATTTGATGTAAATATGATTAAGTGTCCAAAATTCTGTAAATTTAATGGAAATGATTTACATCAAATTTACAGAATTTTGGACACTTACATCATATTTACATCAAATTTACAACCTTTAAAGCGCGCGATTTTTTCCAGTGACCATTTCTGGTATTTATGGCAAAAAGGAATTATTATTATATTAGTTAACCATCATAATTGTTGTAATTACAGGTCGGTGTGAGCTCAATAATGCTACCCATCTCTCTCACCCAATGGAACTTCTCCCTTCCTTTTCCAATGTAAAGTATACGATCAGCAGAGCTCGTTCGTTGATCACGTGTAGCAATCAGTATTGCAGTGATAAAGATATATGTATCGTGAACAGCGATGGATCTTCATATCAGTGCAAAGGTAACATAAAAAGGGAAACGCACGGCATTTAAAAAAAAAACGGATGGAAATGAATTCGAATAGGTGAATGCAAAAGGAATATTCCTTTTTATATTCCATATTATTCATATATTATAATTCATATTCATACAGCCTTTTGCAAAAATTATGAGAATTGTTGAAATATCTAAATATCATAATA